AGATGATCAAATTCAGGCAGCATTTCCTTTTTTGGCAACAGTAAAAGCTGTGCCAGGTCTTCTCTGGGTACGATATCTTCATTGCTCTGGTGGGGTTAAATGATTAAAGAAAGGTAGAATACATTGACCTAATGTGTAAAACAGATATTGGAAAAAGTTAACATTACAAAAAGTGAATAAACCGATCTAAGTCTGGTCAATCAGCCACTAAACATGAAGCAAATAACTGCACACAAACATTTTATTTGCATGTACAGTATATCAGAGTCCTTTTAGCTGCATCCAGAACCCAAACACTAAAAATTAGCTGCAACACAGTTTATATGAAACCTGAAATCCAGTCATTACAGTCAGGTGATTGACAGCTAAATATCAGCAGCAGGTAGTTGATGGTTTTAAAGACAGTTTTCAATTAAAAACACTAAAAGAACCAACTCTATATCCATGTGTGTCAGGTCTGTTGTCCTGAACACATGCTACAAACAGTTTTAGTCTAACATTCGTTTCAGGTCCAAACAGCACCAATTGAGCCCACTGCCATCTGCAGAACAAAGCGCGGAGCTTCAGAATGAAAAGCTGCTCAGTTTTCCTGTGACATGTTCGTGTCTTTGGGGTCTGAGTCCTTCAGCTCAATCTTTGCGCCTTCACCTGCGTCACGCTGCCGGTGTCTGAAAAACACAGATGTAGTTGTTAACTTGAATGTAAAATCTAAAACTCAACGCATTTTCATCAATTGCAACTGTCTCTTTTAAATTGCAGCTGTTGAATCAATTTATTTGAAATCTGAACATTAGTTTAAAATGAAATATACAAACTAAAATTCCATAGTCGAAGAATGTACATATATATGTTGAATGTTCTGTTTCATGCTAGTATAAAGCATGTTTGGAAGATTTTGTATGTTTTGTATTGTGTTATTTGGGTCTTCATTTAAGCCAGTACTGGTTTCTACCAAAGGGTTTGGATAAGGGTCTCTGTGCTAACTCTAACACAAACCCTAACCCTCTACCTGTATGTATTTATGTTATGTGAAATTAACTAAACCAAATGTTGTTAACTGAGTCTGTTGAGAATTTTTTACTGTGACTGGTTGTATTAATTTGAAGTTACTTCACAGTGTGAGAGAGCAAACAGTTCTAAATAAAAGCACCAGTCATCAACCTGGCTGATACATACAAAGCACAGACTGTAAATGAGATGAACGACATAACAGCTCACAAAACTGAATCCAAAGCTTCTTCATTTCCCCATGGTGGCTGGCTGCAGTGTGTCCTCCATGTTAATAAATGGTACAACGACAAATCAGAGTCTTCGCAGTTGTGACTGTGGAGTGGGGCTGTGGTATCGAGGCCCCACCCATTAAACTTTCTTGACCAATCCTGAGTCAGTCTCAGCTGTCAATCATGACGTCTCAAAAGTGACATTTAAATCAAACTGATCAGAATCACTTCAGCAAACATCGGTGTGATTAGAACAACCTGAAATGACAGAAACCATCTGTGAGAAACAATAATTTAATATCTGCTAGTTTTAGTTTGGTCAATGTCCCATCTGCTAACATGGAGAAGCAGTGATTTATGACCTATGCTGCAGCATGACACCAGGGGGAAATGGAGCTGCTTCAGCTTTTGGGAGCCATCATGTCATCCATCTGTATTTACAGTCAATAGTTTTAACAAAGTGTAGCCACATCTATGACCAATGAGAGTTCGGTCCAATGATGGACTGTAGCCTTAGTTTATCCATTAAACATCTGACATCTTCAGATCAGCTCTGGTGACTGGTCAGGACAAGTCCTGGCTGGGATGCGTACCTTCCCTCTTCAACATCCATGATGGTTTCAGGCAAACGGACATTAAGCGTCTCCGGGAGCAGGAAGACCAAGCTGCCACTAACAATTCCAGTGGTGGCGAAGATCAGTGGTGGCAAAAGAAGCCAGATGTCCTCCAGCAGCATGATCATGGGAGCCAGGGAGCTTCCGATCCGACAGAGACAGGAAGTGTAGCCCAAACCACACTGCCTGTCCATCAAACACAATCAGCATCAGGTTTAATGTCTCAGAGTTTCAGTCACATTCACCACCTGAACAATGTGGCTCCAACATTTCTAACACTGGACACCCTCCATATGATCTTTCCTGAAGCTGCTGCTGTCCTCTAGTGCCACCCGCAAGACAAACCTTACATTTTTAGCTTTGGTGCATCACCACTGTGTGTGAAGTGTGCTGCTTCTCAGAGAGGCTAGCTTGGTTTATGACATGTTTGAATCTAGATCAAAGCCACGTCCACATATGTTTAAGTTTTAAAATTCATCACCTCTTACACCTGGTGGAGTTTTCCAGCCTCTAATTCTTTTGTAGACGTCTACAAACACTGCTTTCGTCGCTCTAGTTTGAAAACTTCAGGTGTTGTTTTATTGGGATGCCCAACTTCTCCTTACATTTACATTTAGGGAATTTAGCAGACGCTTTTGTAGAAGCGACTTCCAATAAGTACATTTGTCACAAGAGAGAAACCACAACATATGACCGTCGATGGGGTAAAACGAAATATAGAACCAATTGTCAAGTCCTCATCTGAGGATCGTAACTGCTATTTGTGAAAGATTCTTTAATTGCATTAGTGCTATGATTGAAGTGCTAGTCATACGAACATACAAGTGCATACATTATTTTTTTTGGGGTGAGGGGTTGGAAGGGAGTCATGCTATGCAAGGTCGAGGTGAAGTCTGAACAAATGAGTCTTGAGTCTTTTGCGGAAGATGGAGAGCGATTCCGCTGCTCCGACATTGGTTCTTATCAGTCACATGACTCGACTGCAATTGGTGAATACAAAGCGTTGCTAACACTTCCTGTCAGTAACAGTTCCACCACATTGTCACTCAAGATAAGAAATCCCTGATCTTACTTTTCACTATCTGAGCTAAAACACTTACCGATTTAAAACATGTCAGTGACGACCAAGCCTTAGTTTTCCCTGAGCTGAAGTGTGTAAAAACTATATATATATGTATATATATATATGTATTACTTTATATGATTTATTATTGTCTTTATGTAATTTTTCCAGGTTCACTTTTTACCTGAGGATGGTTGGGTAGAGTTCTGCTGAGTAGAGGAACGCAGTGGTGAAAGCTGCCTCAGAGAAACCCTTCGCCACCACAGCGATACAGATACGAAGCACAGAGAACTCTGAAAGAGAAGCAGGTCAAGCAGATGCATGTAAGTTTATTTCATTCAGGATTTAACCTCAAAATAACTCATTCACTGTACTATAAGTGATGTAACCTAAAGGTATGGCTGTGTTTATTCCTATCAGGGCTCCAGTTATGATCAGAAACCACGCCTGGCCATTCCTGCGGCCGATCCTGTCCAGGACGAAGAAGCTGAGGATTTTGGCGGGAACTTCAATGGCGCCATAGATAAACTGTGTGAGGTAGATACTGACACCGAAACCTGAGATCCTGAAGCTTATTCCATAGTACAGGAAGGCAACAGCAAACCTTGGGATAGAGCAGCATAGCCAGTGTTAGCACAGCCTAGTGGTCTAAAGCAGGTGACATTTTCAAAACTCAGATTTTTGTACCAGAATAATCCAGAGCATAGGGTGATCTTCCTCAGCTGCGGAGTTTTGACCAAATCCAGGTACGAGGGATTCTTTTCAGCCCCTTCAGACACCGTCACCTTCCCTAAAACCTAAAACAGTCAAACATTGAGACTTTATACTGAGTTGTAATCATTCAGTTATCAGCCCCCTGCAGTTCTACAGTTTCCAGGTTGAACAAACTGTTTCCTCTAAACGTGTTGATGAGCCACGAGGTTGGTTTCCTTTGGTTTGGTTTGTGTGACGTATATATAAACACAGCCTTATTAAAAAGACAGTGACATGATGGATTATAAAGTTCTCACATTCACACATCAACTGAAGATGTTAGAAGACATGTTTGTCTTAAAGAATTAAGTAATTTGATAAGATTGTAGTTATTAAATTTGAGCATTTTTTCATTAAACACATATTTCTGATTAACTAATTTCATCTACCTTCCACATCTAAGATTCACAAGAACATGAAAGAGAACCTTCTCAGCTGCCGTAGTTGAAACACCAGATTGATCAATGCTCCACCTTTTACACTGAAATAAACATTTCTTCCACACTGAATAAAGTTTAGTGTTCAGTCTGCTCCGATTGGCCCACTGACCCAATCTGTTGTGATAGGTCAACAGCGTCCAGCACATGTAGTAATATCAGCCCCAGCCTGGCTTTGATGTCAGACTTGATGTGAATTATGGAAAGTCCTCAGCTTGACAGAAACTGTATTCCGTCAAATTAATGCAAAATAACTGTGCAGCCAAACAAGACATTTTTATTTACTTAAACTTGAGATCAATCAGTCAAATTCTATTTGTATAGCCCATATTTACAAATCACAGTTTGTCTCATAGATCTTAACAAGGTGCAACATAGTTGAAACCTCAGAGGGAGCAAATGTGAGACAAAACAGGTGTTTTTTTTCATCTTCAGACCGAATAATGGTCTTTATTGCAAATTTAAATGAGACAGATTGATTAACTTCCATGTTAAGTTAATATTGAACCACAATCAGCTGTACCTCAGTGTTTAGTTTGGTCGTGTTCTTGCCGTTCATCGTAGCACACTGAACCAGATACTTCTGAGCTTCCTCCACTCTGCCGTTGGCCAGAAGCCAGCGAGCCGACTCAGGCAGCCACCTGGACACATGCAGAGGCTTTTAAAAACACAGATGTTTGTCAATGTGGAGCCTTAAAACTCCTCTTCACATCCATCTTACCACCAGGAGATGACAGCAATGATGCAGGGTGCTGTCACTGCCAGCGTCAGATGTCTCCAGTCACGTATGAAGTAGGCCAGCAGTGCCAGGAACATGGTCCCCACGCTCCAAGACAAACTCATGACGGTGCCAGTGAACGTGCGGTGCTTTACGTCTGTCCACTCAATACCTAAGCAGGACGACAGAAGTCAGTACAGATCGTTCAGGTCAAATTACCCCCTTTGGTCACGAAGAACAGATCCATAAAAATAATGAACTGCTAACTGGTGTGCTCTCAGGGCGTAGACCAATATTATGAGCACTCAGTGTGATGGTGATCAAATAAAACCTTTTGTGTTTAAGACCCTGAAAATGAACAGCTTCAATATGACAAGATGAAATAACAACAATATACATATGCTGCATTCACTCAATATGCTGTTATGTTAAATATGTATGAATTCAAGCAGTTAAGGACCACACCTTATTCCTCTCATGGACTTTCAGCATGAGAGCAGGACGTTTTGATTTCACCTTCAGTTTTTCTAATGCGTTCAGTTCAAACCGTGCGCTCATACTCAAATAGCTCCTGCTTGTGCACTTGCACTCACGTTTCCTGTGCTCCAGCTCCAGCTCTACTCCTGGTGGTCACACTGCTTCTTTGCATATGAAACATCTACTCTCAGTTTTCTTCTCAGCTCTCTGATGGTTTTTTGCAACAAGACTGTCAAAATTCATTGTTGACAGGCCAAAGCAATAATAAAGCCATGGAAGACAGAAGTGCATGAACCCCGTTAAAGTAACCACTGTGCAGGACTTAATAAGGTTAATCTTTGTGGGCATGTTACCCTCAAAGAGGGTGGAATAATTTAATTCTTTATCACTGCACCTGACATTCTATTGGTCAGACACTTTTACAGACTTGTAACACAAAACAATCAGACAGCAGATGTTTCATGTGCACAGAAGCAACGTGAGGAGTCGTACATGGACTATCTGAGGGTGAGTGCAATGTTTTGAGTGAAAGCTGCTCTCAAACTGAAAGACCAAACTCAAGAATGATAAGAAGGAAAATCACCTTAATGTTTCTTACACTCGAAATCACTCAAAACTACTTCTAATTTTAGAAATATGAACATGCCCTTTAAAAATCCATTATCTTTCAAGACATTTTCATCATAGACATCCCAAAATTTAAACAATGTTGAAGTTGGTTTTGTTTAAAAGGAGCCTGTAAATGTACAGTAGATCAAAAACCATCACTAAATTCAAATCTTAATCAAGTTGTTGATCTCTTACCGAGGACAATCCCAATGATGGACAGGCCACTGAGGGCCACACCACAAAGTGCTCTGGACAAGGCGAACATGATGTAGGAGGTGGAGAAGGCCGAAGTGAATCCCAGCATGGTGGCAGCAATAAAAGCCACCAGAAGCATTGACTTACGACCAAACCTGCAAGATAAACAGTTTCTAGAGCTTTTGAACACATCACAGGGACTTCATCTGCCCATACATTTTTTCGTTTAGAAGTATTCCCACTCCAGGTTTTTATCCCCAGCACTTGGAAGAAATCTCTTCCATGTTGACTTAAAAGCTGAATTAAAGTTCACTCTTGAACTATAAGGAGACATTTAAGTTTTGCTTTTGACACATGGCCATAAGCCATTAATGTAATTGTATTTAATGTTTTATTATAGTGATAACACCTGCTAGCTCGCTAACTTGTGAGCCTCTGTGGCTGCTAATTGTGCATTCATATGTTGTTGGAATAAGCCAAAATGACAAGTTCCTGATCTCATTACTTATAAACTAACTAACATAATTCTACAATCAGCTCTAAACAGACGCTTTTAATGTGAAATTTACTAACAATACATGACTACCTATGTCGTACCACAATATGCCATTTGGAGTGATCTATGGTGATAGTAACTTACAAACAGCTCATTTATATTTACTTTGTTTGATCAAGCCTCTAAATGAACCTTTAAAAAGTGTATTCTACAGCTGTTTCCTGAGAATTTAAACTCAACTGTAGATTCAGAATTATGTTGAAGTGCAAAACAAATGGGGAAAGTCCATCTGCTGATGATGATCATGTGATTGGATCAAAATCACTGGCACGTTTGACTTTCAAGAGACTTTGTCATTTTAAAATGAGGCCTTTTCTCTCATCTGCCAAAATTAATGTGATGATGTATAATATGAGTTTTTTGAATCCAGACTCAACACAGAAATATTTATCATATAAAATTCAATTTAGCAAAGAACCCCACCATGTGAATGTCCAGAAATGGTTGTGAGATTCTGCTTTGAACAGATCGAGGAACAGCTCGTGTGAATACTTGATTAATAGTATCAAGAATCATCTTGATCTTATTAATTTCTTCCAGACTCCCACGGACCAAACTGAGCATTTCATATGAGCATGAGGGAATATTGTCGGTAATGAGTGTGTGTGTGTGTTGTGTTTGTTTGTTTGTTGCAATCAATGAACTTATTAGATAACTGACATTTTGGGCTTATTCAATATAGAGTCACATGCAGAACCTGGGGTTGTTGCACACACACACACACACACACACACACACACACACACACA